TTTTTTTTTTTTTTGGGACTTGTTTAGACTAGTTTAGGGATCAGGTCCTATGGGATTCTGTAAGCAAAGTTGGTGTTAACTGGACTGAATCATTGAACTGGGCGTAATATTATCTGTAGCTTATTTATTGGATTTTGTCTTAAATGCTTTCTTTATTCAAAATCTTTCGGTGGTGGTTTACATGACAGTTGTGCCCTTTGTATCCTCACAATCCTGAAGTGTTGCTGAATGAGTTAAGATCACCTTCTGAGCTGCTGGATTTTGGAGAATTTTCCGATTGCATGGATTTTGGAAGTGGCACTGCTTCCCCACTCCTTCATGTTGTCAATCCTACATTTGATTATGTGCCACCAAAGCTTGTCAGTTTATTTATCACTGATACGTAAGTCAACTAATTTCGGACCAAATGGATTTGAATGAATCTCAGTATTTTGCACATATTTAGTTTTCTATTTCCCAATTTAGCTAGTTTGTCAATTACAATTGTTATTCCTTCACAGAGGAGGGCATAATCCATCATACATGTACCGGCTCATCGCAGATTATTATTCTGCTGATGATTTAGTGGTCCAACGAAGACCTGCTATAGGAAGTTGAATTCAGCTCCCGCATGTTTATCCTATTATTGGGGTAAGTTTTGAGATTAATTTTAGTCTAACAACTGTTGCTTAGTACTTTGCACTCATATGTCTCGACTCCATTTTTGTCATGGTCTGCTTTGATTTTCATGGGCCAAGAATCAAGTACAATACCATCATATTTATCCTTGAATTTTCGTTAAAAAATGATAATTCAATAAGGAGACTAACATAGACTTTTTGCTACTGAACTGAACTTGTATAATAGATCATATAACCAAAATTTCAGTTAAGAATGATCACTCTGAGGAACAGTTAACCCAAATTTAATGAACGATTTAAACCTTATAGGTAAATGCGAGTGTAGACCAAGCAAAACTTATTTTTTTCTAGATTTAAACTCTAACTAATATATGTGGAATGATAAGTCTTCAAATTTAAATGAAACACAGCTAACAAGCCTAATATGAGGAACCAGATCTAGTTTTGTTTTTGTATATTTTTTTAATCTCTTATGGGTTGAGAGGAAAATGATGTAATTAAATTTGGATAGTTTTCTCTTGATCCCAGGATTTAAGGTGGCTTTGGTGCATTGAATCTTCTTAACTATGCAGTTGGTGTGCTTCAAGAACTCTCTAGTACTGTTGTCCATGTAATTATTGTAGTCCTGATCAGTAGTTTGAATCAACATTTTCACTGTACTCAACTTTCAGGTAGTACAGAAAGCTATAAGGGTAATGGATGGATGAAGAGAAAATCAAAATAAACAGTAGTTTTATGGAACCATGAAGACCGTTATTGTGCTGGAAGAGTCCTTGGACAAAAATTGCAGTTTGGGGGAGTAGCAGTACGAATCCGGGACAGAACCATCCACAAAGATTAGAGCCAATTTTGTGTATGTGGCCATTTAGGAAACTTAGAGCTGTATTCTACGTAAGTGAATAGAAGGTGATTTTTGTGATTGTGGAAAGACAA